ACTGTTGTTTCTAGAATGTGAAGAAGAAGGAAATGATAATGAAATTCGGTCTATGAATCCCAGCAGTACTACTCCTGGATACACGGAGGACGGTATATACAAGGGCATTAGCATTCAAACAACAATATTTGACATGAGAGCGATTTTTTATGTTTTTTAGAATGTGCCGAAGAAGAAAATAGTAATGAAATTCGGCCTATGAACCCCAGCAGTACTACTCCTGGATGCATGCGGAAAGGTATCTACAAAATGAAAGCCACGGAAGAAGATTTTCTAAAACTTTTTTGTTGTTGTTTCAGGTTCTACTCATGGAAGCGTTATAAATGAAATATACCCTACGTGGCCTACAGTAAATACGCCTGGTTACATGGAGAAGGGTATTACAAAAGCTTATGGAACAAAAAATCCTTCGAACAGTACAGTTTTCACCATTGTTTTAGGTTCTACCCGGACAAAGTTTGTACATAAAATTACTACTACTACAACGCGGTCTATGACAACTACTCCTGGATTCGACGAAAGCGGTACGTACTAGAGCAAAAACCGAGAAAAATATTCTCGGAAACTGCTCCTTGTTATTGTTCAAGGTTATAGTCAAGGAAAAAACAGGCCGCTCGGGAAGATTATGGTGTCTTTCACTGGATGGCCAGGGTACGGAGGAAGAGGTATATACAAAAGCAGAAGTCCATGAAACAATCATGTAAACTGTTTATGACGGTATGATAGTTTAAGGTTTCGGTAGAGGAAATAATGCAGGAGACAAACCGCGCATGACGCCTTTAGTATCTTCCCTAGAATGGCCAGGATACGGAGGAGGAGGTATATGCAACAGCAGGAGTCTTCAAAAATCTTGCGAACTATTCTCGATGCCAGTTTTAGGTTGTAGTCAAGGGATAAACGGCCTGCTCATCAGTTTGGGAGGAAGAGGTATATACAAAACAAGAGTCTATGAAACAGTCTTGTGAATGATTCTCGATGTTAGTTCTAGGTTGTGGTCAGGAGAATAACAGGCCACTCTTAAGGCTTCCAGTGTCTATTCCTGGATTTTCTGGATTTGGAGCATGTGGTATTTACGAACGCAAGAGTTGGCTAAACAAGAAACTTCTAGCAACACTTTTTCCATTTTTTTCAGGTCTTACCCATGGATTGACAGGACTAGGGTTTGGAGGCTTTCAAGGAATTCAACTCAATTTTGGACGCTCACCTTTATTTCGTCGTTTTCGGGACTGTTGAACAATAAAGACGTTGCGATTCTATTCCATTCTTTTTGAATTTTATTCCAATCGAGGTTCTCAGGAAATCAACGACATAGATGGCCCTAATTCTGTGCAAACGCATCGATAACAAACTCTTAAATAGTCTGCTAGCAAGGAAAAAAGCCCAGCAAAAATACAGACATGACATTGCATTTGAACAGATCGTTAATCTGGCTGTGTATCGTCTAGAGGAAGATTTCGGCTGATATCTGAACTGAAGAAAATTCGAAAACAGCAAAAAACACTGTAATAACATAAACCAACAAAATAGATGAGAACGCTCTACTAGAGATAAGTTAGAGATTCACATTTCTACGTGTCCTTTGACTTCGACCAAATACTCAGTGTTCGATTAAGTGATCGAGGTGAATGATGAGAATCTCGTTTCGAATCGGAAATTGAAGAGTAATGTCGAAAGGGTATAGTGTACTGTTGATGTAGCATCTCCAACCATTCCCATTTTTACCGATTGCGGAATTAAGCACTCATCTACAGGTCCGTCGTCTCAAAAACTGATGCGGAACGTTCGCGACTCTGGACCTTGAAGATCATCGGCAACCTAATGCCAGTCTTATTCTCCACGCTACTACTTGCATTTCAGAGTTAAGTAGCTGTTTGCCTCCGTAGTGCGCCTTTTTCGCAGCCTTCTCGTTCGCAAGCGGACATTTGCAACACTCTGAAGTTTTGAAAAGTGCCATTCTTCGAAGATTTGAATGGAACTCGGCAATCCCTCTGAAGACACAGTTTGCGATAATTTACTTGACTGCTTGAATTAGGCAGATTTTGGAGCCGACAGTGCAAAGGAAGCGAGTACATTATCTGGTTAAGCGAAGTGAGAGGCTTCTTAAATGTATTCAATTCGAGAGGTTGTATGAGATTATGACGACAAAATGGATGATTGGACGAGATTTTAGTGGCAGCCAGAGTGAGACATGGTCAACTCAGAACGCCGATGCAAGCATCGCCATCAATCGACATCCTACCAGTGGGTGGTTGTTGATGCATCAAACAACTCCCACGCATAAAAGGAAGAGTTTTGTCTAATTTTTCTTTGCTGTCGGAGCCGTCCGCCGAGGCGCAGTTGCCGACAGTTGCTCGTCAGAACGACCCAGGCTGCCTTACTATTAAGGTGGCCGGGGTCTCTGCCCCCTTTTTAATGCTCATGACCATTTGCCACACGGACATGGTAGGCCTTGGCTGTCCCGCTGCCCTTCCGTTCTCCTATGCTACGGTACTGCCTCCGCAGTACGCCAAAGGTTATTCGTCCAGCGCCGACCTCCCTCAAGGTGCTGGACGAGGGGTTCTCCAAGGTCGTGTGTTCCTGCGTATCCACACAAAATGTACTTTCGCTTCGGAACGCGAAGCACACCTAACTAAATTGCATGGATCTATGAACGCCTACACATGTACGAATAGAAAAATTAACTAATTACGGTATAAAGGTGCATTTTAAAGCATCAGCCAAGATGTTGAAACTCTCTATTTGGCCTATGTTTCGGCACTTCGTCAGAGCCTAGAATCCAAACCTATTTGAGATCCATCAATGCCAAACGCCAATCGTCTTGTCAAATAATTGAGATGAACGCGAGAAAATAATATTGCCAACAATTACTGCAAATACCATGAAAAAGGAGTGTAAGCAAATATATACACGGTTAACCACAATGAACAACTACGGCTGGGTACGATCCTGCTCACCCTTAAGCCTGGTCATTAAATCCTCCCGGCCTACTTGCGGTACTGCTGCTTAATGGTCCATCATTGGCTGCGAACCAATCCCTCAGGTATTCCTTGCGTGAGGTTGGCTACGATAGCAGTTGCACCACACGACGGCAACAGATGGTGCTTAGGATTCCTTTGGATCTGCGACCGGCTGTGTTGGGGGACTGCGCACAAGAAGACGAAGACGACCATGCTGCTGCGGCGACATCGGTGACTATAGTGGACGAAGATTAATTATGCAATGGTCGCATGATGGCATAAGCGGCCAGAATCCGCGGCTAAGCATAGTCACGTGGTGTCCCATCGTTCATTGCAGCAAACTGTAGCTTTTGGGCGGGACCAGGTGTGCCCCGTCCTATGGAGTCGAACGGGAGGCACGACACTATATATAAGCTTACACTCACACTTCGCGATAATTTACTTTACTGCCATATCCTACTTATAAAACGCGCCATGTAGGTTTGTTTGTTTGTCTGTGTGCTCTCTCGCGTGCGTGTCGGGAACTAAAAACTCCTGTTTGCGGATGAAGACCGCCGAAATCTATCGGATAGGGGTGGCTTACACGATGGGAGCACTGACAACAGTAAAAAAGTGATTGAACCCGATTAGGCGGGAGGCGTATGAAAGAGGACTTGGCAGGGTGAATAGCTCAACGGAAGCTCCAAAACCACACTAGTTCATGGAAGCTCATGCCGGAGGATGCATGCTTCATCTCTTGGATCGTTATTGAGAATATCGTTCAATCCGCTGGAGGACTGCAAAAGGCACTTGAGAGGGTTTTTTATTCTAAGTCTAGAACCTTCGAAGGAAGTGGGTACAATGTTACAGGAAGATGGCAAGCAATCACTTATCAGAATGGTTTATATACTTTTGATGAATGGGCTTGTTTTTCTAGAAATTTTCACTCAAAAATGGCTCGAAAATCGGCAAGAGCTTTCTCCTTCTCTTCGCCTTTGTGCGTTACTTGATCTGTTCTATAAGTGCCGAATCATCACTGAAATTTCATGCGGTTTGCTCAAGTCATCCAGATGCATAGTTGTTGCTACAGAATAACCTTTCGTTCTTAGCGGCTCCTACAAATCTGCACCTTCTATTGCTGCAATCCGTTACGATTATCACAA